TGCTAAGTTAATATGTAAAGCCTAGAGGGGAGCATAATTTAAAGTCGAAAACCGCCTTTATCTTTTCATTTACACTTTGCACCTAGATGCTAATTAGTTGCAGAAATTATTCTCTACATTTTTTGTGCTGGAAGTAGCGGAAACTTTAGAAATAAGTATATATTGTATGAAGGAAAAGTAAATTAACAAATGCTGCATGTGTAGTCGAAGGTACCGAATAATTAAAAGTACAATTGAGCCTATGAGAACTTTAATTTCATACTTTTTTTCCTTCTTAGGTAATCTTTAATTCGAAGATGGTTAAAATTGATTATTTATTGCATGAATGGGGCAAAATTAAAGAACCAAAGTGTTTGTAATTTGCACTTATCACTTTTTATCTTTATCATTATTATAATGAGTTCAATATTACATATAGGGCTAGACATTGCAGCTCCAGGTCAACTTTCATCACATTTATAAAATGTTTGAATTGTTTTGAAAATTTTAATTATCTAATTAAATATCCCGTAATCTCTTTCTGTGCATAGTCTTCAATTTCCTTTTAACCTATTTTCACAAGAAAAAATATGGTAAATTCCCTGTAAAAGCATTATTATTAAAGTGGCTATATAATTATTGATCTGATTCTAGTTTTCCACAGCAAAAAGAAGGTAAACCAGGGAGAATCCATATTAAAAATAAAAAGCATAAAATGTGATTTCTTAAATCATTTTTCTTGTTATCTAAGCAAAATACCTCCTTAATTAATTAACTGTAGGCCTTTCTATATAGGATAATGGATATAGACTGTATGAATTGCTGTTGGTCTATATTTAGTTCATTAATTAATCAAACGTTTATATGAATTTTAGTTGTAAGTGAAAACCACGTTTCACTCCTGGTACAAATTAAACACTTGGATGTATCTTTTCTTATTCTCCATATCCATCGAGTGTATAAGAAAATTAAATAAAAAATTGTAAGTAAGGTCTTTATTCTTTTATAAGTTATTTACCAATGTACGTCAAGAACCAAAAAAAAAAAAAAAAAAAAGAGGGTTTTAAGTTGGACATGTGTATCACACATTGATTGTACAAAAGAAGGAAAAGTTTAAATCAAACGAAATGGAGTAACAACTAAACAAAAATATGCCCTGGATATATATATATATTCTGAAGATAAAAAGTTAAAAACAAGAAAACACGCTCATGTATCCTAAGTTTAATTTTCACCCTGAATTAATCAATGAGCCTCTTTTAAAAACTACATTACAGTAATGCCAACTTCTTCACAATTTACATTACTGTAGCTCCAATTTCTTCACAATCATTTCTACAACTATCTTAGACCATCTCTTGCTTAGGTTCATTAATTATACTTCCCTTCAGACTAAACAATGGAAGGTGTTGGAATTTGAGCCGAGGACAACAGAAGGCACGTATTTGTACAAGCAACTTCTTAGCTGTGTCTTTCTCTCGAACATAATGGTCATTAAAGAGATTTGAAGGAAATTTGAGAGAAATAAGAGCAAACTAGAATTGGAAGCAAAATATCACTGATTTTCATTATCTTGCAAACCAGAGAACAATTGATTATTTACATGAAGCTGATTATTTAAATACCCAATATTATTCCTAAAATCCTATCCAAAATAATAAAACAAACGCACCCACAGATTTTCATTATCTTGCAAACCAGAGAACAATTGATTATTTACATGAAGCTGATTGCCAGCTTGGCAATCCGTGTGACTCTTACACATCAGCATAAACAAACACAAATTATTGAATGTAAACAAACATAAAATTTAGCTTACAAAAAAGTAGAATTTAAGAAACAAAAGAAGACCATAACTTCTGCAATTGCGAAATCTTCTTCTTCAGTCAAAACGCAGAGTTTTATCTTTGCTCCTAAACGCACCGTTTAAGCTCAACTCATTAACTTAACGACTTTTAGTGCATTCAGTNTGAATTAATCAATGGGCCTCTTTTAAAAACTACATTACAGTAATGCCAACTTCTTCACAATTTACATTACTGTAGCTCCAATTTCTTCAAAATCATTTCTACAACTATCTTAGACCATCTCTTGCTTAGGTTCATTAATTATACTTCCCTTCAGACTAAACAATGGAAGGTGAATTCTCCAACTATCTTAGACCATCTCTTGCTTAGGTTCATTAATTATACTTCCCTTCAGACTAAACAATGGAAGGTGTTGGAATTTGAGCCGAGGACAACAGAAGGCACGTATTGTACAAGCAACTTCTTAGCTGTGTCTTTCTCTCGAACATAATGATCATTAAAGAGATTTGAAGGAAATTTGAGAGAAATAAGAGCAAACTAGAATTGGAAGCAAAATATCACTGATTTTCATTATCTTGCAAACCAGAGAACAATTGATTATTTACATGAAGCTGATTGCCAGCTTGGCAATCCGTGTGACTCTTACACATCAGCATAAACAAACACAAATTATTGAATGTAAACAAACATAAAATTTAGCTTACAAAAAAGTAGAATTTAAGAAACAAAAGAAGACCATAACTTCTGCAATTGCGAAATCTTCTTCTTCAGTCAAAACGCAGAGTTTTATCTTTGCTCCTAAACGCACCGTTTAAGCTCAACTCATTAACTTAACGACTTTTAGTGCATTCCGTTAATACAAACTGACTTTAACAAACTCAAGTAACATTTTCTGTCAAAGCTAATCAAAACCAGATTTAACAGATTTTTAACTCTTCAATAATCATCAATCTATGTTTGATACCAACATGATTAACAAGATTAGTGGCTAGTAAGACTTCACTAATATTATCACACCATATTACTGGTGTGACAACAAGAACTAATTGTAATACAATAAAAGACTTACTGTATCAGCATGACTTAGAGTTCTATATTTGCTTATGTGGTCGAGTTTTCTACTTACAAGAACTTTATTTGATAAGATTAGAATCCAAGAACACACAATAACTAGTGATATACTTATAATCTTAAATACTACTAACCCAATCTGTATCAATATAACATTCAAAAAGAAAAATCAAATATGACCCGTGCTGTAAATTCCGAAAGGTTTCTACTAGCAAATAATTTCTCTTTCTATGGCCTAAAACAAAATGTAGCTTGATGTTCAAAGACCGGCTAATCACTTGTTGCCTTGTTATGGTCACATACGACCAACTGAGAAACAATTATACTTCCAATGACATTATAAAATTGATTGCCAAGAAAGCTACTCTGATCAGCCGAGTGCAATAAATATATGTATTTGCAGCCCTTATGCACATCAACTATGTATAAGTGAAATCTTTAGAGATATTGCCCTAAAGTGACATAAAATTAATACAACTTATAATAATGCTACACAACAAAGTACATTTCCACATGTCAACAAGGAACTGTAAAGACAAATAGCACTTAACACAAACAGTAATTCATTTATGTCTGCCTCCACTACTAAAACTTTTCAAACAAGATCAGTTGATGAATGTTTTATATTTTATACCTGACAAATCACAAATCAATTAATCAAAATATCTGACCAATATATTTATTGTCATTCTGAAATCATCCCGGATTTAATTTGCTTGCTGCTGATTGTGCTTAAGAAATATTCTCTTCAAGGCATAAGCCATGAGAACAAAGGCTTCCACATTGGTAAACGCCTGAAAAGTTCTTAGCGAGATTGGGAGGCTGGATGAGTAGGCTTCAGCCCAGGTGATAAGTTCTTTCCCAAAGAATCCACCATCTTTCAAATAATCAGTGCCCCTGCAGTTGTGTGTCCGTAGTTCACCTTGTAGCACGAAGAGCATCTCGTTAATCGGGTCTCCTTCCTGAACAATCAGAGTGCTGTCAAGACAGAAAACTAGCTTGGCATAATAACACAGATCCTTCAACGCTAGCTCCCCCAAGTTTCGAAACTCTTCTACCTTGATATACATTCAAAAACAAGGATGAAAAGCAAGGTTTTAAGACCTGACCCCAGGGTGACCGGTTCAGGTGACTGGGTCACGGGTTAACGGGTTTAACCAATGGTTTGATATGTTTAAAATCTAGCAAACACACCTCTGATAAATACCCTCAGACCCTATAGGTTTGAAATCTAGCAAACACAACCCCTAGCCAAATGCAAATCGGCGATTGACTGGGAGAGCGGTGACGACACACCAGGGAGGGTAGATCAGGTGATGGGGAGGACGAATCGGCAATTGGCAAGTTGAGGCATCGCCGAAAAATGGTAGATCCATGGTGGAAGTCAAATGGTTGCGGTGGCTTTTTTTGGCGAGATGACTGTGGATCTTCATGAACGACGATAAGGGGGCTTGGGAGAAGGTAGATCGGTGGTTGAGGAGGCCTATCGATGTTGGAGAAGGTTGATCAACACCAGAAAATAGAAGAAAAATTGTTGGACGATGAAACATCGCGCAACGGCAAGAGAAGGTGGTTTCTGATAGCAAGGGAAGGTGGAAGGTCGCCGGAAAAGGGGAGGTCATCCCCAATTTGCATTTGGCTTGAGGGTGTGTTTGTTGTATTTGAAACCTTCAGGGACTATGACGTATTAATCAGGTGTGTGTTTGTAGATTTCAAACTTAAAAACAGTTGAAAGATGACCCAACCTGGAGAAGGCCCTTGTCTCGATCCAACTGGTTAAACTGGCTGGGCCGGTCCGCGTCTTAAAACCATGATGAGAAGTACACATCCATTATCCAACCAAAGCTGGAAGATTTATATTCAATATTTGAAAGTCAATAGAAACAAAGGTACTCACATTCCTCAACTGATGTAAGCAAAGTTCGATCTTTATGTCTCTGAGGAGTTTCTTTGTGAAGAATTTTGATTTCTCGCCATCTGCTTAGCTGCAAATTTTTTATCACCTCCTTTTGCAATTTTTGAGGGAGCTTCTGGAAGGACACGCACTGCTCCGCCGTTTGTTTCTGCAATATTAAAGTCGACTGCTCCGGCTCTTGTACCTGAAACGACGTCATCTCCTCATCAATAAGCAATAGAAACGGTATCTCTTCTTCTTTCTGACGCTCCGTCTACTCTGCTTTCTTTTTATCTTAGGGTTTCAGATATTCCTGTTTTGCCGGAAGCACCATTAGTAGAAATTAAATTTAATGAGCTTCAATCTTAAGCATGTTGGAATAAATAGAACATGTACCAACCTGCATATTTCCGATTAAAAAGACAAACAGTACCGTGGAATAGATGACTACAGAAACCACAAAAATATTTTCCATGATAAATGTACTTGGTGTCAGGTTTTGGCCGAAACAACTGCAAGCAAAGATTGTATTCCATATAACAATTAAGCTCAAAATTTGCAATTTCTGTTCTCTTTCAAGCAACTCAAAACTAATTAATATCCAAATCAGATCGCATTGTCAGAAAAATAAAAAACTTGCTCTTTTCTTAAATTATTAATTTAATTAATTAATTATTAGTATAATTTTTTTTTTTCGGTTAACTTACATTATTTTATGAAGGTATTTTAGGAATCATACATTTAAAAATCAGCTGATACTTTCAAAATGTCTTTTTATAAAATAGATTACTAAAAAATCGAATTAAAAGTTAATAGCTTCTAAATTGTATTTATTAAAAAATAGCTTAAAATGTTAAATTAAAAACGATAAGTAACTATATTCTCATATGCACAAACCTGAGAGCTTGCAGGCCCCATCTAAAACAGTATAAAATCTTCTTCAGAAATTGGCGTTTCTTCCTCACAATATGATACCGAAGAGCTTCATTGAATATTCCAAACTCTGTGATCTCGCTAGCAATTTTTTTTATTTTATGACAATTTAACTCTTCTATATTCTTATGCTTTTCACGACAGACGAAAGAATGAGGATTAAAGTTATTCATTGTAAAATAGTCTTCCCTCCAACACGCCAAAATTCTATCGATAGCAAAAGAGTACCATAACGCTCCAAATACCTATATTCAGGACCATATTATAAAGACATAATGATTGTTAATTCATTAAATATTACAGTTTCAACGGAATACCGCATCAACAATATGAGAAATTAAATATTGAATTTTGTTTATAAATCGTGACATCAAGTAAATTAACAAAAATAAGTGGTGACTGAAGTAACCTACATGACCTCCAAGCAGGAAAAGAAAAAGATTGAATACAGCTTTGACCTACTTAGCTTTGGCAATAACGGCATTACTCTCAGTAGCATTTTTAATAGTTAACGACAGTCCAATAACCAGTAGGATATATCCGAAAAGAAACAAGTTAGCCGTCGTCAAAAAGATCCGGTCTTCCGTTCCCGTTGTCAAATCAGGAAGTACCGTCTGCACAAACCACAGCAAGTTTAAACAACTCTAATTATGATGAGATTATAAAACAAAATTCGCTGTCGAAGAATTGATGACCTTACCAATGTCATGAACAATACTAGTATTTGAGTAAAGATAAAATGTCCGATCACGGTTTTAGAATTACCAGGTGCAATGACTTTTTCAAAAAAATAGGGAGTATAGAGCAGCATATAAGCATTAAAGAAGAGGACAGGAGCAATCGTGGCGTATAATTCATTGTCGATTTCGAGACAATTTTGATCTTGTTTGATCACATAAGCGTAGTAATGCAAAGGATGTATTACGATAACAATCATATAAGCCGCAATATATAGCCCGCATCCCCAAGTGGAACCTATTTCAAATTTCTTACTCATCCATTTTAGAGTTTTTTTCAAGGGTGAGGGTAGCCAGTCATAACAAGCTTGTAAACAAGCTCGTAATTTATACGAAATGCTCCCTCTGTCTGGATCACTCCCTATCTCTGGATCAGAAGCTTGGGGCTGAGACTGGTGTGACCTGAACGACACATAAATACGTAGTTCAAAACAATTCAAACGTTCCAGCCGCAAAGAAGCACTTAATGTTGTAAAACTAAATTAGATAAGTTTTCAAAGACAATATAAAGATTATACTCAACCATCACTTACATGATGAATAACGCAAAGTCTTTGGATTTCGATTTGCGAAATTGTTCTTCAAATACTGGACCATTCAGTAAGTACATAAATATTGATTGGAGGATGCTGAGTCAGTATATATATGAAGCCTAGACGGAAGCATTAATTAAAGTCGAAAGTTGTCTTTATGTTTTCACTATACTATATGCAATTAAATAGATGCTAAATTAGTTGCTTTATTTGTTATTTGAGCTAGAAGAAACGGAAATTTTAGGAAGAAGTATAGTATAAAGGAAAAGTAAAGAAATGTTGTATGTTTAGCCGAAGTCACTGTATAATAAAGGGTACAACTCAGCATATGAGAACTTCCTTAATTTGATAAACTAATGCTTTTTGTAGGACCTCTTTAGAAGATTGTTGGAATTTATTGTTTATTGCATGAGTCGGGCAAAAGGAATAACTGTTTGTTTGTTTCTCTTATTACTTTTCGATCTATATTATTATTATAATCAATTCAATTATTATTAAAGCAAGAATAAAGTGATCATAAAATAATTGCTTAGACTCTAGATTTTTACAGCAAAAAGAACTTGTTAGACGGGCCATTTTTAAAACAAAAGGTAAAAAATGTGATATCTCAAATCATTTTTCCTTGTTGTCTAAGCAAATGGAAATGTTCGAAAACTTGTGGGATTTTATATGTAATGAAAACAACTATAATAACATAAATTAAATTAGCTTATAAATTTTAAATTGGCTCGATTAGAAAGATGAATATATACATTTTGGTGAAGAACATAGCTAGTATATATCAGTGTTCTAAAACCCAGACCAGACTAGACCGGTCGGTTAGATCGGTCCAATCGGGAACAACGACCTCTCTGGTTGGGTTCTGATTCCAGGGGATTTCTGCTAGATTTCAAACCTATATGGACTAGTTCGTAATTTGTTTGGAGCACCAGTATCTTATAATTTTAGGAACTAATTTGCAGTTTTAAGGGGTATTTTATAATATATTGAAAATTTCGGGATTAATTATAATTTTTTAAAATATTTTTGTATTAAGTCGGAACCGCGCCTTTGACCAATTCAAGTCCTGGTCCAATTTTCAGAACCTTGGTATATATAGCAAATATGAATTGCTAGCTATTTATCTCTTTCATGAGCTGTGTTCATCAATTAATTTTATTTTTAAGGGATAATTATATATCATTTCTGGTACACAACAGTAAACACGTGATTATGATGTGTCTTTATGTGATTCCCCATATCCGTCAATCATCTTTACTCGTGTTATATTATAAGTTACAAAAGCAGAAGAATATTTAAATGGAAAAAGTTTTAGGTTGGAGAGATGTTATCAAAAGAAATGGATAATATTGAAGCCAAGTGATCAATGACACAATTCCAAGGTGATGCCATGGTTTTATTTGCACACCAGCTGGGTTTAAAGCATTCAAAATCTTTTCGTTTTTGTTTTCAGATAATGAACTCAAAATTATTAAAATAGAAATATCCAATTTAACTATTAAGCGAGGACCTAATCGAGAATTTCCCGAAAATAAAGGTAATCCCATGCCCGTCCCGGCCTGAACTAAAAGTCTAAAATTCCTTGAAAATTAAATTTTTATATTTGATTGTTTTGAAATTCTAATTTTCTCACTTTAAACTATAAACATAAAAGGAAATAAATATTACATTAACCTCAAATCTTTCAAGATATTTCCCTATGTTGTGTGAGTTTGTCATAATAGCTCGCAGATCTGGGAAGCTCGTAGAGAGATAGTTTGACCCAATTAATCAACTCGACCCAAAATCAGTTCAACTCAGAGTAAGCTCAACCTAGGTGAAGCTTGTCACAATGACCAATCCAAACAACTGTTCAACAAATAAAAAATAAGCTTCAATCTCGGATATTTCGGAAGGGATAAGATCAACACCACTGACAGCGCAATCTCAACGCTCAATCACGAAGATCACGAGATTGTAAATCAACTATGATTGCAATCCCAAAATTATCTCTCTTTCCACTAATCACAACTTGTATAAAAACCACTCAAATGATGAGAAAGAGGTTAGCAAATTTGTTTAGGCATAAAATACTTGTTATTATAAGCTCTCAAAAGCAATAAGATAATAATGGACATAAGCTCAAGTTCTAACTTGTTGAACCACTTTAAAAATCCTTGTGTTTTCTTTACATTATTACCGTATTTTATATTCCATTGCTGATTTTCATTAAATCACGCACAAATCCGTTCCGATTCCATCTAGGTCAATCGATTCTCTCAAGTTAGTGCAAATTTTAGTATCAACATTTTGGCGCTAGAAGGAGGGCCTCCGCCTATTTCTCTTATTGCCGGTGAAAACAAGTAATTTCAGTGAACAACCGATCACCTCAGATTCCTAATGGCTCGTACGAGATCCAAAGCACCCACCAGAAACCACAACCAAGTGGAAGCCACCCACCAAGAGGTGAATCAGACCATTGTTCAAGGCCGACCACCAGTACCACCAATGCAATAGGTCGCAAATCAGCTAGGGGCAAGGACCTCTAACCCCAAGAATGGTCAGCTGATGGAGATGATAAAAATGCTAGATGTACAGGTAGTGCAACAGAATGTGGCCGAATTGAGAAACAAGCAGTAGGCCAACTAAAACCTCGATCAACCATACTTTACATAGGTTACACCAACCAGGCAAATCATAACTTTACTGACGACCAATCTGGTTTGTTAGAAGCAAAGAGCGACCATCACCCCTGACATCGTAGGGCACATTCCGTACACAAGCATGAATCCCGAGGGGCAGGTTAATCCTAAGAGGCGACTAAGCAGGTAACCCATGGGGGAAATGAAGACAATGGTCACCAGAGGGATTCTCGTCCTAATCCATGAAATGCCCAACGTCAACATGCCAATTTAACCCATGTCAAAGGCAAGCTCAAACCTCGTAAGCACGCGAGATCAGCCATGCACGCCAATCTGGCAATAACCAATGTTTTACTTTTAACCAACGTTGCGAGCAACACATTGAGGAGCATAATAATACCTACCATCCCAACCACCATGACTCCACCTTGCGCACTAGTGCACAAGATAAAGTAGGCTCGCAAGGGACTAATCTTCGTCTCACCTACTCAAGGTAAGGATGAACAGAGCTCGCAATTAGAATCCTCCTCACAATGAGAATTTGGATCATGTGCAGAAAATGCTTGATGATCTAAGAGCCCACCAGAATAATTCGGCAGAAGAGATAGTAAGTTCTCCATTCATAGAGGAAGTCTATCAGCATTGCTTCCCCAGGGATTTAGGGAGCTAGAGAATAAGTTTGATAGGAAAGGAGATCCTAGAGACCACTTGCATACCTTCAACAATTTGATGGAATTACATCAAGTCTCCGACTTGACAAAGTGCTGATGTTTTGTGGTCACTTTTGTGGTAGATGCCAAGAGGTGGTATAAAAGGCTGAAGGCGAACTCAATCTAATCGTGGCAGCATTTCTCCTTGCTCTATCTCCAATAATTCCAAGCGAGGAGATAGTTCGCCATGTCGATCAGTTATCTGAGCAATATTCATCAAGAGAAAGACGAATCTCTAACCTTGTATTTAACAAGGTTCTAGAATGAAATCACTAAAATAAGTTTGTAGATAGAGTTATAGAAAGAACTCCAGAGTGAAGACCATGTAAGTTTAGTCAAATTCTACCAAATGGCGGCCAAACATCAACGAGTTAAGAGCTCACTGGCAGCCTTAGTTGGTAGCTCCTCAAGAAGAGCCTCTGACCAGCGACAAGACCACCTATCAGAGAAAATGAGAGGCCAAGATCGAGGTGACAGGAATCAGAATAGGTACCAAAAAAGGCAACAAACAAGTCCTCGTTAGGAGAGACAACCTTTTCCTTGGTATGCAAGGTATTCCCCGATAGAAGATGTGGCTCACATCTACTAAGTCTCCCACGAGGCTAGGAATCTACCTCCACCAGAGAGGATGAGAGGGGCAACGAGGAGAAGGGACCGCCAGAAATACTACAAGTTCCACAAGGATATCGAGCACAATTCAAATGAGTATCGCGCTTTGAAAGATTCCATTAAAGACATGATAAAGAGGGGGCATCTGAAAGAGGACATAAGAGAAAATCAAGCTCGTGACAATCCGAGTGAACATAATAATCAGACCCAACAAGTCTAGTTGATCAACGATGTATTAAAGGGTATGATCTATGGGGGACTCGACGTTGTAGGAAGCTCTAGGCATGCTCGCGGGCAATATGCACAAGAAACCAGGACAGACGTAGTTCCCTGAGTAATGAATTACGAAGTAAAGCCACCAAAGCAGCCCAAAATGGAAAGCAAGGTGACAAGTTTCACTAAGGAAGAATGCGACCAATTCTCTCACCACAACCATGATACGATTGTAATTGCGACGAGGATTGGCAATGCCCAAGTTCTTCGGATAATGGTCGACAATGGCAGTGCAACAAACATCATCTTCTTGGGAGCATCCGAGAAATAAGGTTCATCGAGCGGGATTTGAAATCATGCCCATTGCCACTGTACGGATTCACCACAGACAGCTTAGTCCCTAAGGGAACAATAGAGCTGCTTGTGACTCTTGGGGAGAAACCTCTAATAATGACAGTGATGGAGAAGTTCTTGGTGGCCGATTGCCTGACCACTTGTAACGTCATCTTAAAAAGGCCATTCTTGGAAGACTTGAGTGTGGTCACTTCAGTGCAATGTTAGGCAATGAAATTCCCAACTCCAAATGGAATCGAAGTAATCAGGAGTTGCCAAAAATATTCAAGGGAGGGCTACAACGAGGCAATAAATGCAACACAAAAATAGGCACTCCCGAAGACCATGATCATTACTAAGTCCAAGCCAAAGCCCAGACTATTGAAAGATACCATTGATCCTTGTATTTATAAAGAGGAGCCCGCAGCGGGGCCAACAAAAAAGCTACGAGAAGTGCCTGCCAATAAGAAAGACCCAACTCGTGTTTTGAGAATCATGAGTAATCTGAGCAGCGAGTTGGCAGACATTTTAGTGAGGTTTTTGAAGAAAAACCTCGATGTGTTCACTTGGGTTCATACGGACATGATGGGG